ATTTAGGTACAATCACGAAGTAATTTATAATATAATTTTCTTATAAAGATAATAATTAATTATTTTGTTAGAACTCGATAATTATCCTAATTATATTTAGATTTTTTATATTTTAAAATAAGATGTTTATCCTTTATTTGATTGTGTTTATCCGCAATTAGTTATACGAATTCAAACATTGAGCTTTAATAAATTGTACTTTTGCATAATTGACTTGTAGTCTTGAATTTTAAGCAGACATTGGTTTTACGTGGTTTTGAGAAAGTGATAATGTTTTTATTTTTGAATAAAATATAAATTTAAAAATATCATAAAATTTTAAAAAAAATATCGATATCAGTATTAAATTAATCTTTTTAATAGTTCTTGTGTTTTGGTGTAATTTTCTTAATTAATTTTTTTTAATTATAATTTAATTCAGGTTTAGTAACAAAAAAATTTAATTTAGGTTTAATAATATAATTTTTTACAAAGATAATAACTAAGTATTATGTTAGTTATCAATGATTATCWTAATTATATTTTAGATTTTTTATATTTAAAATGAGATGTCTATCCAATATTTGATTATGTTTATCTGCAGTTAGTTAGCCGAATTCAAGTATGGAGCTTTAATAAGTTGTACTTATGCACAATTTACTTGTAATCCTAAATTTTAAGTAATATGCATTAATAAACAGTACTTCGTGCGTACAAAATCGTTTTTAAGAGTTTTTGTCAAATGCTTTATAATATAGTATAGATATAATGTTGAATTTGTATACATTTATACAATTTCATATCATCGTAAAATTTACATCTAAATTATAAACTAGCAACGTCAATTATACAAACACACTTTTCAGATCACACATGAATGTTTCTTTAAAAAGGATTACAGTTATCTACAAGAAAACCATGGTTTGTACCAGTAGCAAAACAACCATCAGATAAAATCCATTTTACTTTCATCAATCTCCAGATTTGAGTGACGGGAGGGATCATGAATAACATCAATATCCGAAAAAAAAAGAGTATTTGAGAACAAAATAGAACTATTTAAATAAAAGCAGTACTTATAATTCTACATTTATTAACGGTGAAAGGACACATGTACATTTAATCTACACAATGTCTTATGCCAAAACTTAATCTACACAAATTTTACTACATTATAAAAAGTGTTAGTGATTTTAGTGAAATCATCAGTTTATTTTAGTGTAACACCTGTATTTCGGTGAGTGAAATTCTAATACTTTATTTATATCTTTTTATCTATAAAATGGTTAGAGAAATGCCTTGAAAAGCCTTTATATTTCATTAAGAAAAGAAGGGAGCCAAATAGATGAATATGGTGTTAATGGGACATGTTGAGGTCGTACGTCATCAACTTCAGTGGCAATTGGTACTCTCATCTACCGCTGGTAAAGTTCACTTACAATAATTGTTATCACTCTAGCACTGGGATGGCACCGTCAGATGCCTTGTATGGTCGAAAGTGTAGGACTCCTATATGTTGGCTCGAAGCGGGATAGAAACAGTTCGCTGGACCCGAAATTGTCCAAGAGACAACAGATAAAGTGAAAATCATGAGAGAGTGCTTGAAAGCGACTCAGAATCGTCAAAAGTGCCACGCCGACAAGAAGCGTAGACTTATCAAGTTCCAAGTGGGAGAACTGGTCATGTTGAAAATGTCCTCATGGAAGGGTAATATCCAATTTGGGAAGCATGGGAAGCCTAGGAAGCTTAGTCCCCGTTTCCTTGGACCATTCACCATCATAAGTCAGGTCGGCCTATAAGCATACAAGCTAGATCTATCATTGGAGATGGAAGGAATCCATAATACTTTCCGTGTATGTTAGTTACAAAAGTGCTTGGCGAAGGAGGAAAACGTCATTATTTTGTCATAAATTCACGTGGATGGGAACAATCGATGCATGGAAGAACCCAAAATTATTTTAGAAAGGAAATCCAAGAAATTTTGTAACAAAGAGGTGTGGTCAAGGTTCAATGGAAACACCATCGAGGTGCGAACGTGACTTAGGAGGTCAAAGAGGATATGTAAAGGCGATATCCTCATTTGTTTAGATTTCGTGGGCGAAATCCTTTCCAAGGTGGGGAGGGTTGTAACACCCGAAATTTCAGTGAATGAAATTCCAAGACTTTATTTCTATTTTTTTATCTTTAAAATAGTTTGAGAAATGCCTTGAAATTAAATCCTTTGTATTCCATAAGTTAGGCAAGGAAGGGAGCCAGATCGATGAATATGGTGTTAAACTCTCGGTATAAGTCGGGTTATAGTGTCCGACGATACTGACATAGGGGCACTATAGCTACCACGATCGCCAGAAGGCGACATAAAGAATCCTCCTTCTTATATTTAATTACTAATTATTATTGATGAAATTTCATAGAAGCCTCGGTACAATACGTTCGATAGTGCCCACTATAGTGATAGTGGCAGGATCATAGGGAATGCCCCGACACCATTAAAACCCGATTTTTAGCTTTATTTCTCATTTATCTCACAAACCGACCTCTTTTAGTCTCCATTAAAGACGATTGGGAAACCCTTCTAGGTCAAAATCAATTCTCTTAGAGTATTTATTTCCTTCCAAGATTAAAGACTTCAAGCTAGGATCAAGATCCAAATTCATCACTTCCATTCCTAGAGTTTTTCTTGGTTTTCTCTAAACGCGTAGCAAGTTAGTTTTAAATGCTTTGTAAAACTAGATGCATGCCTAACTGTGTTCCTTGATGTTGCAGACTTTAATTTCAAGTATTATTCAACTATTTGATGATTTGATCTTGTGTTCATATTTGATGAAGTTTTAAGCATTTTGGGGTAAAAGTTCATATTGTGGTCATATTAATAAGTCTTGAACTAAATGTCCATTGGGATAGTTTTATATGCATTGTGATTCATCACTTCGTATTTAGGGGTATAAATGATGCAAGTCGATCTCGAGTATCAATATACTCGACTCGAACTGGATAGCCATTTCTCAAGCTTGAAATCGACTCGAAAGCTCACGAGCAGTTAAAAAATAAACTCGACTCAAACACGATTACAATTTTTTAAACTCGAGCTCGAACTCATTTGAAGCTCAAAACAAGCTCGAACCAAACTCACCCATTGAAATTTATGAAATTTTAAGGTCTTGAAGGTGTTCTATTAGTTTTTATTAAACTAAAGGGATCCACTTCAAACTTCATCATCAAAAAGACAAAGTTAGAAATTTCATTTACCTCACTCTCTTTTCATAACATCTTTTCTCCATTCATTTACCGTATCTCTTCCAATGTGGGACAATTTCACCAATACTTTTATTGTTTTTTTTTAATTGTGATTTTAATAAAAAAAATTGATTAGTTTTTATAATTAAAAAATGCATAATTTTGTTCAAATATCTAAAATATAAGACATTTTTATTATTTACGTTGTTACAAATTTTATTATAAAAATTGATTGTATTTTAAAACTAATTATATATAAAGTAATCGAGTATCTCACGAGCTTTTTGAGTCGAGTGCTAGGTTGCTTGACTCGACTTGTTAATATGTCGAGTCGAGCCTATTCGAGTTGGGTGTTGACCGAGCTTTGAGCGATTCGATCTCGAGTAGCTTGTGAGTTGTCTCGTATCATTTGCACCTCTATTGGTATTTATGTGAAAAAATCAAACTTGTTGGGATTTTTACTCAAAATTGGGATTGTGTCTATAAATACTAGTCTTATGAGAGCATGAATGATCCTATGATGGTATTTAGTAACTTAGGCTTAATGGATGAAAGATTATCTGAAAATAGATCAGTTGGATATTTTCATTGAGTTAGATATTTGGATGAAACTTTTCAAGTAAGCACTGGGAGGGTTGAGTCTTGAGGTGTTACCTTTGGGGTAGACACTAAGGGGCTGTTTACTAATTACTGACTGGGCTGACTCGGTCAGCATATCTGACTCGGTCAGCAGTCAGAGTGTTTACCAAATCATATATCTGATTGAGATCTGACCGATATCTGACCGAACTACTGACCCGGCCCGCATCGATTTCATGCTTACCCTGGTCAGATTTTCCCTTTCCATACTTGCCCCCTTTTCACCATTTTCACCAAGTCGCTCCCTCTCTGCTCATCCTCCTCCCTTTTCATCGGTTCTCATCCACCATGGGAAACCCATATCTGAATCCAACATCATTGTCCAGTACATCGATGAAGCCTGGCAAAACAAGCATCCGCCATTGTTGCCTTCTGATCCTTATCTCAAAGCCCAAGCCAGGTTCTGGGATGATTTCGTTGACAAGAAGGTACCTTCATTTGTCATATATTTCTTTTGGTTCTCGATCTAATTTTTTTTTTGTGTGTGTGTGTTTTGGGGAAAAAACACGCAGATAAATGATGGTGCGAGGAGGATATGGAGCACGAAAGGAGAAGAGCTGGAGAAGGCAAAGAGGGAGTTGATAGAGTGGCTGAAGGTGTTGGAAGGGCAGCTTGGGGATAAGGCGTATCTGATGGGGGAGAGGTTTGGGTATGCAGACATTGCGATGGTGCCTTTCTACTGMTGGCTTCARGTTTGAGAATCTTTAGGCAATGTTTTGATCAAAATGAAGAAGAGATGTGGTGTGAAGAGAAGAAATGGATGTTAGATCTGAGAACAGTAGTGTGCAGGTGGTGAGGTGGGCCAAGATACCAACCCAAGTGATTCAAARAACCAGCATTTTGATTTGAATGAAAAGATTGTTGGGTTTATGTTTATTTTCATATCTTTTACAGTTAATGAAGTGATTTTGATTTTGATTTTCATATCATATATTATTCAATATATAATTWCAAATAGGGTTATAATGGTCATTATATTTTTGGTAAGCACTTACCAAAAACATTTGGTAAACATTCTTACCCGGGACAGCACTTACCGGGATAGCACTTACCCGGGTCAGCACTCTTACCCGGACAGCACTTACCCGATAAGATTTGGTAAACAGCCCCTAAGATCTTCGCCACTTGAGGTGTTATCTTTGGGGTAGACACTAAGTGGCCGAGCCTTGAGATGGAATTTGCAAGAATAGAGACTAAAAACAACTGGTTCTTGAGGTGAAGCTTGTTTAAGTGGTCATCAAGACACTTGGGCTAGAAGTCTTGAAGTGTTATGCGACTATGTTGTTTGAGTGACATACTTTTGTGTTCCCGTCACTGTCAATAGATACAGGTCTCTGCTGTTGATTCCACCTAAACGTTATATTGTCTTACAAATGATTCATAACTAATTATATTGCAATTGTCTTTAGAGTATTCATACTCACTAGAATCTTTGGCCTAACACTCGTTTTGGTGTCAGTATGTATCTTAGGTTCTAGTGCGTGATTGCCAAGAAGATTTGACTGATTCGTTAGGGAGAGCTTAGGGGACATTTTTGAGACACCAACTATTGACATTATTTTGGTGGTGTAGGTGACACCTAAATATAATCTTATTTCTTTTAATAAATTAGATTAGGAGGTTGTTATCCTCATAACATATTGTTAAAAATTATCATTTAACAGGTGTATTTAAGTTTCCCCTTTTTGGGAAGGCTCGTAATTTGATATGCCAATACAACATTTCTGTTTTATTTGGAAAATTTCGTTGTCCCGTTTTTGGGGTGTTACAAGTTGATATTAAATCTTTATTTAAATGAACTAAGTGTAAGATTAGGTGCCTAGACTTGAGCTATAAATTGTAATGGCAAATTTTTTAGCCTTGGGTCGAGTTATAAGTCGGAAAGGTTATAGGACTTGTAGAAATACACTAATTGAAAGTTGTAACAAAATTGTAACGCAAATTCTTGTGTGTAATATATTCAGAATTTCAAATGGTCGAAGCTATTATGAATATATTAGTACATACGCATGCTTGAAAATTATTGTTGTTATGATGATTGATGAATGTTGTAGTACGTTTAAAACCGTTGATCTTATAAAGAATTAACTGGTATGATCTTTTGTCATGTGTGTGATAGTTCACCATGGTAAACACTCGAAGTCGTCAAGTAACTCAAGATGAAGGAAATGATGCAAGTGTGATGGCTTAAGAACCATTAAAACCGCCAGGGTAAACCATCAGCACCCAAGAGCCTCCAATTCCACAAATGATGAGGGTTGTTATAGACATTGTGTCAAGACAAAGTTTTGGACATTGGTATCCCTGTTGTTCAAGAGTTAGACTCTTAATCAGTAATGTTGGCCAGTATCATGCAAGTAATAAACTCGACCATGGATAGATGGGAAGAGAGGTTTATGAAGATTTCAGAAGACAGAGATGCAAGCAACCGAATACACGAGACTGTCGTGGATAATGTTTGTGATTGGCTCCGGGGATGGGGCTAATGCTAATGACACTGAAGAACAAGTAGTTGTTGGTCTTAGTCATAGAGAAAAAGTTTGTTCGTATAAGACCTTTCTATGGAGTAAACCTCTCGAGTTTTCGGTAACCACCGATCCAGTTGCCTGTATGAATTGGATTTAGGAAATAGAACAATCTTTCGATTCTAGCGATGGTGGTGAAAAATATAAGGTAAAGTATGCATCACAAATGCCAAGGGGTCAAGCCCTTAGATGGTGTAACGTCATGAAGTCTGTCCTGGGAGTTACTGTTATCCCACTTCTCACGTGGGAGGTTTTTAAGGGAAAAATCATGGATAAACATTGTAATGAGAGGGAGTTAGACTGAACTGAGGACGAGTTTCGGGCTCTCCAGAAGGGAGACAAATCCATGGCTGAATATTCTAGACTATTCATGGAGAAACTTGGTTTCGTGGGACATTTAGCCTCAGATGAGAAGTCCAAAGTCAAAGATACCTGAAGGGATTGTCGACCGAGATGAAGACATTGGTACGAAACTCTAAGGCGTTGACGGTACAGAAAGCCATGGAGGAGGCTCAACTAACAAAGGACGACATCGCCTAAGGGAAGTAAGAAAGAGTTGCGGATAAAACTGTTATCAACTTTCTTTAATTGGTATTTGAAATATTGAACCGTATGGTTCATACATGGAAATGTGATAAAACTGTACTTGAAGCTGTTTTGAGTTTGATGGTGAAACTAAGTATAGAACCGTAAGGTTCTTTATATAAGTTTCTGTTATGAAACTGTTTTGATGACATTATTGGCAAAAATGATGGATTTTATTATGATTGTATCTTTTGTAGAAATAAGGATGACATATCAATGAGAGGTGTACATTGAGATAAGGAGACATATCAATGAGATGTGTATATTAGGATAAGGGTGGCAATTATGAAATCTGGGTTTTGATCATACGCTTCGTTATCACATTCGTGGGATGCGATGATCTTGAGTTATTAAATCTGTCTGATGCGAGGACTTGGGTTGTCGCTTCTAATTGATGTGATAAAGATGGTATGATGAGGAGAAGGAAACTTTTTATAACTAGAAAGGCTTTGAATGGTTGTGCATTTGAATTAACAATGTTTTTGGGGTGGTCTGGTTTATGGATGGCTTTACTTCAAGTCATTTTGATAAAAAAAAAAAAGGGTTGATGAGGAACCAAAGGCGCTTTGGTTGATCTTCATGTTTAACAAGAGGGCATCTAGTTGTATTTGGGTTCTTTGATCTTTTCAAAATGTTTAACATATCTTGAACTAAGGCTCTGTATTTGGGAGTTGAGTTGTATATCCAAGCTTTATGTTCGAGCTCTGTATCCAGGCTCTTAGTTCCAATTAATTTTTGTAACTAAAACCTTTTGAACTAAACCATTTTCAAACTTAATTTTATATTGGCACTTAGAGCCCAGAGCATAGTTCACCAGAAGGGCTCTGGTTGGCTTGGCCTCTGGGTGGATTACTTCTATTTTGTTCTTAAGTCCTTGAAAAAATGTTCAAACCTTTGGTAAAGAACCAGAGAAGCTCTGGTTGATCTTCATGATTAACCAGAAGGCTTCTGGTTGTATTTAAAATTCATTTTTCTTTCAAAATATATCATTTATAGCTTTCAGAAGCTCTGGTTAGGCGAACCAGAGACTCTGGTTGGCCATGACTTGTGTTAAATTTTGATTCTAGACAACCATGCTTCTAAGAGGCTTTGTCTTAAACTTCTGGTTGATGAACTAGAGGGGCTCTGGTTGGTCATATATTTTGGTTGGCCTCGCCTTTTTATGAAGTCTTACTTCTGGTTAGCTCTGGGTGGTAGATTATATGAGCTCTAGTCCATAAGAACCAAAGGGCGCTGGTGGTCTCGTACAGTGTGATGCGAGGACTTGAGAATCTCGCACCAGTGTGATGCGAGGAAGTTTTATAAATAAATAAATATACATATGATGCGATAAGTTCTATCATGGGATAATTTTCAAGATATTGGGTATGTAATTGCAATACTTGAGTTATGTTATGTCGAAAGGTTATATATATTTGTTATAATTACAAATATGATTTTATATCATGTTTTGGTGATTTTCACCCTGTAATTGCATAAAAAAGATTTTTAACTATACCTCAAGGTCTAACCCTCATTTTGTGTTTTAAAAAAACGCATTACAGGTCAGACACTACCAAGAGATAAAGGAAAGGAAAAAATATGAGATTTTGTTTGGGAAAAGGGGACCGAACCCCCAGAAATTTTTTACTAATAATAAAAAAGAAAATTACAAGAATGAAATGGACATACCCATTTTTACAATGTCAACAAGCAACACCCTAGAAAATGTTTTGGAAAAAACATTTAACAATGGCCTACCCCAATAACCAACATTAGAGGATAAGATCCAAATTTTAATATACCACAAGACCATATAACTCTTGGATTGAGCCCACTTCATATCAGAAGCCCAAATCAACATCTCACAGCCCAACCAAAGCATTCATCATGAAACCAAGTTATTGGCATAAGGAGTTATAATTCAGCCCATCAGGTAATAATATAGTTGTAAGATTCCGTATATGCTTACATGGAATATGGGAAAGAGTATGTTATATGTTGATCTTGAAGATCTGTTATAATAAGCAAGTGATGTACTAGAATGTTATGGAAAAAGATTTGTTAGCTACCTATGAAATGTAGCTTGTTGTATGTTTTGGGACCGAATGTGTATTATTGTGTTTCTCATTATATGAAATACATGGGTATATGCAAATGTGGATCTTGAGGTGTTACAAATTTAAATTCCATCACTTCCCCTAAATCCTCAAATGATGGAATCTTTGGAATTCATTTCATTCCATGGTAACCAAACGTTGGAATGAAATTTGGTCAACGAAATAGACTATTCCAGTTCCATCAGATTTCAAGGGATTCCGACGAACCAAATGCACCCTTAACGTTTCACATCCTATTTCATGTCAACTTTTGTTTTGTTTTCAAATTGGGAAACAACACTACATTGTTTCACTTTGTGAAACAACAATTTAATGTTTAACATTAGCGACATTATTTTGTTTCACAATATGAAAAATCACTTTAGTTTTTCACTTTCACTTTCATATCACATTTCACATCAACTTTATTTTGGTTTTTACATTGTCAAAATAACATTAAGTTTGTTTCACTTTAGTGATATTGTATTATTTAATTGCGTCAAATAAAACTTTATTTTTACCAGAAAAATACGAACTAAAAAATTTGTGCTCTTTCCTTGTGCCTATTTCGCTGTAGGAGGTTGGTTCACGGGGACGACTTTCGTCCCTGCTCGACGGGTGGGTCTTGCAGTCAAGCTTTTTGTTGATTTACTGCGTGACGATTTTATTGAGAAATATCCTGTTATTTTGAGGTCATATCTAGTATTCAAAGTTGGAATTGGAATGGAATAATATCGATTCAGACAGAAGAAAAGGATACATTCTGGGAAAATCAAACTTCCATATGAGAGGACCGGGAAGGACGCACCTCTGGTGTACCAATTATCGTCGTGAAATATCGATTGCTTGTTAAACCCTGTGAATTGCGTGAAAGTAGGATACTCCAAATTCGGGAGTCTCTGCGATTAATATCTTCCCTAGAAAAGAAAAGGGTAGTCAAATCCGATAATTTACGATCAATTCATTCATTGTATACATGTGATGTTTTCATTACATTTTTTTTATATTTACTATATTTTTTTTCTCATGTGATGTTTTTATTATTTAAAATAGTCAAATATATTTTATAAAATTGTAAGTTTTTCTATACATTAACAAGTAAACAAGTGAACAATTAAATTAATAATTTACTAAACTAATGAAATATAAAATATTATTATCAATTAATGAAAATTAAAATATCTTATTATTACACATAAATTACATCATATAAGGTTAAATTAAAAAAAAAAAAAAAATTTATTCTAAATTTTAATATCTGTAAAAAGAGAAATGGAAAATAATCAAGAAAAGAAAAAATTATAACCATATCCTTCCTTAATTATATATGGAACGTTAATTAAGGTTGTTAGATTAGAGTGATTAGATGCTTGAGATTGGTTCTGAAGGTTCCTCAACCTTTTTGTGGTTCTCATTTGATTATCATCATATATATGGATAGGTTCGTTTGAGAAGTGGTAAGTATTTGAGAAGTAAAAAGGTGATCTAGCCTTTCAACGGTCAAAGATTGGTTAAAGATCGCGTTTTTGACTGGATAAGATTTGCGGCTTTAATTGATAAAGCGAATAAATAGAGGGATGGTTTTGTAACTTTTACAAATACGCGGCAAACAAGTGCATATGTGAATCCATAAGTGCGTATTTGAACTCATAGCTCATATGTGAATCAGTTAATTAGTTTATATGTGGATCAGTTAATTAATTCACATATGAATTGCACAAGTTTACATGTTAATCAGTTAATTATTTTATATGTGAATCAATTAATTGATTCATATATAAATCACATGGTTTCATATATAAATCAGTTAAATAGTTCATATGTATATTACACGGGTTCACATATAAATATATATTTCATATGTGAATGACACGAGTTCACATATGCATTTGTTTTGCCGCATATTTGTAAAAGTTACAAAACTATCCCTCTATTTTCCACATACTATGTTCATGTTGACAGTCCATATTGTACAATACACCAGACACAACGAACTCGTTCGAGGAAGGATATTGGCTGTTGAAATGTCATTGCTTATTTCTCAAAATACGTTCGTTTATGAACAATCACAAACAATATAACTTACAACACATTATGATATTAAACTGACTAAATTCAAGGAGTAATGTAACTCACTTTTAAATGCACTAAAGTAATATAAAACATAACGTTACTATTTTGCCACCAATCATTAATTACATATGAATCTATGAACCATAATACTAGAACGATTCCTATTGGTGTAAAGAGTTTGTATACTTAACACAAATGAATTGTTTAATACAAGATTACACATATATACATATATCTAGAGGGGGTTAGATTGCAAACCGCCTAGTTCATGCAAACTATAGAAACCAATTTCAATAAATAGAAAAATTCCATGTTTTATTAGTATGAATGTCATTTTACTTTGTAATGATTAATCTTGGTAATGTTTTGATTGTATTTAAATATGAAAAATTAAATATAGTAACTGTTTTTATGGAAGCTGTAAATCAATTTATTTTAATATATAATTATTACCACTAATAATTTATATTCTTTTATTAAATTATACTCCTAAAATCAGTTTGATTACAAATAATTAACTGTCTAATCCTGTTTCAATAACTATAAATGAAATAGTTTCATATATGGTTCATGACACCATGTCAAATGCTCCATCTTTCATTGTAGGTGACAAGAAGTCTCATTAATTCATTCAAGAAACAGTGAAACAGTTTCATATATTGTTGTTTTCATTTGTAAAATAAATGTCATTAATGAAACCATATTAGACAATTTTCAAAATGTTTCAAAAATGGAACTTATTTCATTTTGGTTATGAACCATGAAACTACTTTCATTAATGAAATAATAGTATGCAGGTCTTGAAATGTTTCATTGACTGAACCATATTGGTTTCATTAATAAAACCAATTTCATCTTGGCTATAAACCATGAAACAAATTTAAAAATAAATGAAATATTATTATTCAGTTCTTGAAGTGTTTCATTGACTGAACAATATTTAGTTTCATATGTAAAACCGAGTTCATCTTGGTTAGAAACCATGAAACTTATTCCATTTTGGTTAAGAAACATTTCAACAATTTTCACTGCTGAAACGATGTCATTCAATTTTTGGAATTGTGGAGTCCATGAAACCAATTTCAACAATGAAACGAATTTCACTAATGGAAACATGTTATTCAGATTTTTGGAAAATGTTCCATTGACTGAACCATGTTGGCTCAAAGTTCATTATACAGACGAACAATGAAACAAATTTCACTAACGAAAAAAATGAGATACAGTTTCCAAAATGTTTTTATTGATGAAATCAATTTACAAAAATGAGACGAACAATTTGCTAATTTTGCCCTTTCTTGATTAAATATTAGACCATTTATTTTATTTTTTACTTTCCTAATATAAGACATTTTAATCATGACCATTTATCAAGAAAATTGATGGATGAGATTGGTTTGTAGGGTTTGCACAAAAGAGGGTGGTTTGCATTTGATTGCTCCTCCATATATCTATATATACATATATCTATATCTATATCCATACATATATATATACACACATATAAACCTCACAGTAAATCTCACGAAGAATATATATACAACATTAATACTAACGGGTGGTTTACCAAACATTTACTCGGGTAAGCACTTACCAAATTACATAATCTTACCTAATGTATATGACAGAGACCAAGAATCTTTTCCGGTAAAGGCAAAGACAAGGACTGAGAGTCTTACCCGATAAGTGAGGGCGACGACCTTTACCCGGTAAGTGAGGGCGACGAATCTTACCACGATTAATGTTTATCGGATAAATTGTTGCATACGATACCGTTTTTTGACTAAAATTATACCCGGTAAGTAACTGATAGAGCTGAATTTTTTCAATAGACACATACTCGGGTAAGCATTGATAAACGGCCCCTAATGGTGAAAAGACGAAAATAGCTGCCACGTACATCTCACATGACGTCACGTAACACCAGGCTCTTGACGATATTTAACTCAATTGTAAGAATATTTTTTCCTCAACCAAACCTGCATATTAATAAATAGTCTAGGGACTAAATATGTAATTTACTGTTTCGAAAATTTTGAAACTGCAGTTGTAATCCAACAAAAAACTCCTGCTGGAAGAAATACGATGAAAATGGAACCTCGAAAAGACCGTTTCTAATCGCACCGACCTCCTCGTTCATGTCTCCATCACAATTGCCGCCTCAACCATCGCCAACTTCTCCCATCATTATTTCACAAACCTCATTTGATTTCTTTGCCCCCTCTTCTTATTTTCAAAATCCCACAATCATAATCATCGATTTTCAGTTTCCAATCCCTCGTTTTTTGCAACTAAAAACACGGATTTTCATGTTGGTATTTGTAGGTTCTTTACATCTTTCGAGATCCGAACAAGGGTCGTCTTCAATTCCAGATCATCTGGACGGATTTTGTTTTATTTTGGTCGTTTTCATTCATGTCACCATCAAACCCTAGTTTCAGTCCCTCGAAAGCAATCAGTCAGCGATCTTGTTGCTAAATCTGGTATTGGGTTGTGATTCGATGTTGGATTCCGTCAGGTACAATGTAGATTGGATGAGCAGAAATGGAAATTCGACTGCCACCACTCTCAACTTCTACTCCATTTATGATCCTCTGATTTAATTTCATAAAAGTTATTTAGGTTTTATGCATCGATTCATCGGCACAAGTGAAGAATAAGATGAGGGGTAGAAACGAAAGAGACGAATTGGATAGCCATAAAGGGTCTGTGTCCTCACTCGGGGTTGGGTTAACCAGAGTTCTTTGCTTTCTGATAGTTTTTGTTGTTGGAATAGTGATTGGTTTGGTTTCAAGTTCACATGTAGATAGATATTTCACTTCACAACCTTATAGTCTTAAACTAAATCGTGCATCTCCACACCCTAATCCAATGTACACCAACAGCATTACGAAAACCACGACTGAAACAGATGATCGAAACTGTACTACTACTAAAATTGTGATTAATTGTATTAAAGAGGATTGTTTGAGTATGGAAAGCTTTCGGGCACCCAAGAATTTGAGCCATGGAATGACCGATGATGAGCTCTTTTGGAGGGCTTCTTTGGTGCCAGAAAAGGCACATTACCCGTTCGATAGAATGCCTAAGATAGCTTTTATCTTCTTAACAAGGGGACCTCTTCCTTTTATGCCATTGTGGGATAGATTCTTTAAGGGTCAAGATAAAAGGAAGTATTCGGTTTATGTTCATACAAATCCTGATTTCAAGCTTGATGTTTCAAATTCTTCGGCTTTCTACAATCGGCAGATTCCTAGTCAGGTACTAATCAATTAGTTTCGTTTCGTGTAAGTAGTTTATGAATGTTTAGCATATCTATTACTGTGTTATTTGCTCATAATCCTTGTGATGCTAAAAGTAGTTGCATAGTTTTGTTTCTTTAGGATTCGGTGATCATGCTTTAGATGTATCCCTAGAAACTTGAAACACAATGAACGCGAAAGGAATTGGTCCTTAGATTCGCGTTCAATTTGAGAGTTTAGATTTGTTAAAGGAGATAAAGTTGTCTTGTCCCGGTCTAAAATCACTTTAAACATGAGACAACAAGTTTTTCTGTTGTTCCATCCCGTGTTGTCCAACGTACTAAATGCACCCATATATGTTCGTTTTATTTAGGGATGTGCAGAAAGTCAACCGATCTAAATGGAACCGACCACCATAACAGGGACGGACCTAAGAATTTTTGGATACGGTGGCACCACATAAAATGGTTGCAACTTTCATAAACCTAATTTTTTTTACCATACCACAGAGAAACAATATGGTGGCACGTGCCACCTAACCACCCCTCTAGGTCCGTCTATGCACCATAATTGGATCGGATAGGTTGAAAATTTCAACATCCAATTTGGATCAGCCGATTCTTGGATGGCAGTCCATTGGATTGATTGGATCGGTTGGCAAATTCTAACATGCAATGGATGATTGGATCGGTTCGATTCTTCTCACATCCAATGGATGTCAACCGATGGACATGCCTAGTTTTATTCTTCCTTCTTTTGTTGTTAGCAAAAAGGCATTTTGGACACTACACTTTTATCGAACTACATGTAGATTCTACTATTCCAATATCAATCATCTTGGATAGACTCCATGTTTACGACTTCACGTTTCTTCTAACACACGTTTTCTCGTCTTCTTTTTCGTTTTCAGGCCGTGATGTGGGGAACCGTGTCTCTAGTCGATGCAGAAAGGCGACTTTTAGCCAACGCATTGCTCGACTTTTCTAACGAGCGATTCGTTCTCTTATCAGAAAGCTGCATCCCAATTTACAACTTCCCAACCATCTACAAATATTTGGTTGGGTCCATCTACAGCTACCTCGACTCCTACGACGACCCATCTCGATACGGGCGGGGCCGATACAACCGTCGCATGAAACCCGACATCCGGCTTCGAGATTGGAGAAAAGGTTCCCAATGGTTCGAGATGAACCGAGCACTCGCCATCAAAGTGATATCCGATACAAAATACTACAATCTCTTCAAAAAATATTGCACTCCCGATTGTTACCCAGATGAACATTATATGGCCACTTTCGTGCACATGTTTCATGAGTCGCTAAACGCTGATCGAACTGTAACTTATGTCGATTGGTCGATGGGGGGCCCACATCCAGCAAGTTTTGATGATAAAGATATTACGGAAAGTTTCATTCGATCGCTTAGGAACAATGGGACGAGTTGCTTGTATAATAAGGGAACAACGTCGGTTTGCTTCTTGTTTGCTAGAAAGTTTAATCCGAGTGCCTTGAAGCCGTTGCTTAAGCTCTCCCTGAAAGTACTTGAATATTGAAAGTATCGATGTCGAAAGATATCATTTTTGCCAAAATTTGTTGTAATTTAGTAGTGTTCTTTTGGTGAAGTACACGGTATAGAAATTTTGTGCACTAGTTGTCTGTATAATGTTTGGTAACTGTAAATTTTATGAGGGTTTAAAGAAGAGTTTTATATTCCGTCTTTTTGAGTTAGGGTTTAGCGTTTGCATATAGAATGTGAGCAGTTAAGGCTTTTAGTAACAAGTTTTAAACTTGGAAGAAGTTATGTTAAACATATAATGAGGGTTAGTTTCCGTGAGAATGGAAGTTAGAATGAGAAGGGATCTCCACACTTGGATCGATCTTATTCATGGGGATAGAGATGAGATTAAAAGTGATAAGAGTCAAGATCTCTTTTTATGATTCTCATCTTAACTCTTATTCTCATATGATTCTTTGTCTATATATGATTATATAACAATTATAGTGAGAAGGTGAGAATACTTTTGAGTTTTTAGACGAGTTGACTTTTTAATCTAACTTAAAAGCATCTCCAATGAAAGTTCTTATAAGAACCTACTTTTTGTTGTCACAATCACTTCCAACTCATTAAATTAAGAACTCACAAAAAAGTTTACAATAATAGTTCTTATAAGAATCTTTTTTGTAGATCACATGTATTTTTTCAACATCAAAATAATTATTATATATTTATAAATAAATACAAAAAAACTAGTATATTGTCACTTCACACCAACTTCAAGGTAAGAGTCAACTTTGCTGTATAAAAACTCAAAGGAGTTGAGGTTCTTAACAGAATTTGTTAGTATCTAACCATAATCGGCATTGTAAATTAATCATAGTAATTAAGCCTGTAGTTTGTATAAATGTTTGTTCTTCATATTCTTGAGCCATTTTATTTTCTTCTTTATGAGGTGCATCAATTTTTCTTTCTATATTATTGACCTTTTCAATTATATTTGTTAATAAATTATCTACGTATATAACTTTTTCTTCCATATTACTTATTTTTAATTTATGTAATTCGGCTACTATTTCAAGTTTTTCAATTTTTTCATTATATACTTCAGTGTCAATTCCTTTCTTTTTAATGTCTTTATCTGTATTTAATTCAATATTAAAAACTTTTTTAAAGCAAATGTAACAAATTTCTTTAAAACATATATTACATTGTGTTTTATCTACATTGGATAATATCCACAATAAAAACATTTTATATAATTATTTCCTCTTTTATAAATCTGAACTACCATTAGTCACAGATTATATAATTATAGAAGTAGATGGTTGTAAAGAAGGATGTGGAGCCGTGCTTCTTTGTAAACCTAATAAATATAGCTCTAAAGAGACAGAAAAAATATGCTCGTATGCCAGTAGAAACTTTAACAAAACAGGTATGAACTAGACGAGTTTAGATTTCGAAATACAAGCTCTAATAAATGCTTTAGAAAAATTTAAAATATTTTTACATAATGAATTTACAGTAAGAACAAATTATGAAGCTATAGTTCGCTTTATAAAAAATGATCAAAGCAAAAAAGTTAATAGGACAHGATRRATYWATYTACAAAATATTATACAAGGATGYRGATAYAAAATAAATTTTGAACATATTAAAGGAAAAAATAATGGGATAGCAGATATGCTATCTAGAAATATTAACAAACTATTTAAGCCATGAGCAATAAAGTTCAAATAAATTGTAATCAAAATAATATAATAAGAACACAGTATCTTAAAAAATATTGGAAACAACAAGCATCAAATTTTAAGCAACTTAAAGAATTAGAAAAAGAAATTCAAGATTTAGAAAACAACCCCAATATTCAAGATCCTTATCATCCAAAACATCTTCACTACAAAAAGATAGTCTATTAAATCTTATACAAAAGAAAAAAGTATTCTCAAAATTTGATTTAAAATCAAGATACAATCAGTTACAGCTAGAAGAAAGTTTTAAACCATGGTCAGCCTTTACATGTTCGGAAGGACAATATGAATTGAATGTTCTTAGTTTCGGACTAAAAAACGCTCCATCTATATTTCAAAGATTTATGGATAACATTTTTCTTAAATTTGATTTTTGTTTAGTATATATTGATGACATTTTAGTTGCTAGTGAAACTGTGCAGGAAAATGAAAAACACTTACAGAAGATCTTCAAAGAGATTAAAAAGAACGGTATAATAGTTTCAAAAAGAAAAATGAAATTGTTTAAAAGAAAAATATATTTTCTTGGTTTAGAAATAGGTAATGGAAAAATAGAATTATAATCACACATTTCTATAAAAATTCTAGATTTTCCCAAAAAATTCGAAAATCTTAAACAAATACAAGCATTTTTAGGATTAATAAATTATGCTAGAAAATTTATTCCTAATCTTTCAAAATTAGTTGGACCTTTATACAGTAAGACTACTAAAAATGGACAAAGACACTTTAACAATGAAGATATAAAACTGGTTAAAATAATAAAAGAGGYAGTTAGAAATATAAAACCCTTMGARCTAYCATTARTCACAGATTATATAATTATAGAAGTAGATGGTTGTAAAGAAGGATGGGGAGCCGTGCTTCTTTGTAAACCTAATAAATATAGCTCTAAAGAGACAGAAAAAATATGCTCGTATGCCAGTGGAAACTTTAACAAAACAGGTATGAACTGGACGAGTTTAGATTTCGAAATACAAGCTCTAATAAATGCTTTAGAAAAATTTAAAATATTTTTACATAATGAATTTACAGTAAGAATAGATTGTGAAGCTATAGTTCGCTTAATAAAAAACTAGTATGGGAACCGCGCGTTGCGCGGTAACATGAGTGTTTTGATTAATGATGTGAGGATTGTTTATATAAATATATATTAATTGTTAATAGAGTCATCAACAAATCATATTCAAATAATTCAAAAAAGTTAAATAAAATATAGTTAGTGAAATTTTAATACACACACACACACACACACACACACATATATATATATATATATATTGAGAGAGAGATTTGTTTAGTAATAAAGTTGTAGAACTAAATAAAATGAGTAATAATAACGACGGAAATATTAAGAAATCTGATACAAATTTAAGAATAAAAAATACTCCACATAAAGATGTCTCCTTCAAAGGATGATGTACATGTACTATTTTTCATCTTCAACACACACCTTGACTTTAAAAACACAAAAGTGAATGGACCAACCATATGATATGTAAAAAATCACATACCAACTTAAAACTTCAAATCTTTATAACCCGATAGATAAAATTATAATGCAATCAAAATCATCACATGGACATACATAAAATTATAATATGACTAAACKTACGATRAAAACATACTTAAAAATATAATCCAATCAAAATCATGATACAAACATACATAACATTCTAATACACTCTAAATTACAAAACAAACTTGCATAAAATCCTTACTTTAGATCATAATAAAAAATTCCCACAACCCAAACTTGAAAAGTTCAAATATGATCAAGACTTGATATATAAACGTTCAAGACTTCGAAAACCTGCAAACCAAAAAACGTTCAACATAAGTAAAAATTACATGGTGAACTTGAACATTTTAAATCTTCACCTAATACATAAGAGTTATAATGCAAACAAAAATCACGATACAAACATAAATAAAATTATAATGCAATCAAAATAATGAAACAAATCAATATAATTTTTTTACCTTATATTGCAACCAAAAAATTAAATATTGAACTTGAAGATTTCTTCAAATCTTCATGACATAATGCATAAAAACTTTAATGCAATCTCAATAACGATACTAACATACATAAAATTATGGGAGAAGTGAAAAAAAAAACTATGAAGATTATCAATAGTAAAATAGAAGAAAAACCAAAGAAAAAGAAAATAAATTTATAGATGTATAAGATAGAGATATAATTTGAGAGGGTGTGAGACATGATGATGAATAAATAGTTGTTGTTTATATGTATATAAATAAATGATTGATGGGAAAAGATGAAGGGTTTGGAGTTATGTCATTTGAATTAATATAGAAGGAGATGAATGGTTTGAAGTTGAATGCAAACATTTAACAAAAAAAACATAAATTGACAAAAAAAAATATGTAGTAGTGCATATTGAGAGAATGAAGGAGAAAAAAGAAAAATGATGTTCTAGGCTTTAGGAGATGCCACTTCAAACACTCATGGTTATTCTTTAATATATATATAATAATACATAAGAGTTATAATGCAAACAAAAATTACGATACAAACATAAATAAAATTATAATGCAATCAGAATCATGAAACAAATCAACATAAAATTATTACCTTATATTGCAACCAAAAAATCAAATATTGAACTTGAATACTTCTTCAAAGCTTTATGACATAATGCATAAAAACTATAATACAATCTAAATAACGATACAAACATACATAAAATTGTGGGAAAAGTGAAAAAAAAAAACTATGAAGATTATCAATAGTAAAATAGAAGAAAAACCAAAGAACTTGAAACTTCTTCAAATCTTCATGACATAATGCATAAAAACTATGATGCAATCTAAATAACGATACAAACATACATAAAATTATGGGAGAAGTGAAAAAACAAAAAAAAACTATAAAGATTATCAATAGTAAAATAGAAGAAAAACCAAAGAGAAAGAAAATAAATTTAGAGATGTATAAGATAGAGATAGAATTTGAGAAGGTGTGAGAGATGAAGATAAATAAATAGTTGTTGTGTATAAATAGTTATTGTTGATGAAGCTTAATTCGAAAAAAGTTTATCATATCCTGTGATTATAAAATATCAAAATTTTATTCGAATTTATATGATCAAATCGTAAACACAATTTATATGAGTAAACACAATCATATCATATGATAACAACACATCCAACAATATTGAAAAAGAAATATGTAATAACAAATCACATTTTTTAATGAATATAATTTCTACATAACTTTTAAAATCTTTGAATTCTTCTTCAACTTTCACCTTCTTCATCCCTCACTAAAGGATTTTATATGATTTTATTTTGTTTATTATTGAAACTTTAAAAAACAAATTTCATTAAGAAATAAAAGAAAGTAAATGGAAGAGCAAATCAAGAGTTGGAGGTTAAACTTGGGTATACAAAATTACAAAAATAACCCGTGTTAATTATGAGCTATACATTTTTCATCCAGGAGCAAAAAAGTCTTTAACATATTCAACATTTAAAAAATCAAAAATATGAGAAAAAAGATAGGAGGGGTTCTAAGCATTAGAAGGTGCCACCTCATTCCCTTTGGTTTCTTCTTTAATATATATATAGATGATCAAAGCAAAAAAGTTAATAGGACATGATGGATCAATTTACAAAATATTATACAAGGATGTGGATACAAAATAAATTTTGAACATATTAAANGGACATGATGGATCAATTTACAAAATATTATACAAGGATGTGGATACAAAATAAATTTTGAACATATTAAAGGAAAAAATAATGGGATAGCAGATTTTCGAATTTTTCTGGAAAATCTAGAATTTTTGTAGAAATGTGTGATTGTAATTCTATTTTTCCATTACCTATTTGTAAACCAAGAAAAGATATTTTTCTTTTAAACAATTCCATTTTTCTTTTTGAAACTACTATACCGTTCTTTTTAATCTCTTCGAAGATCCGCTATACCCCCCTTATTGGTATCAGAGCATAGAACGATTCTTTAATTTAAAAGACTAAGCCAAACTCGATTTATTTTGATGGCATGTATAAGCCCATCGTTGTTTTCGAGAACCCGCTTAGGTGAAAATTAAGGGATTAGTTGGTGCTTTCATACTATTAAGATGGTAGCGATGGATTTTTCTACATTTCTAAATTCTGTAAAGTTTATATTATAGATCTTATGTAGCTTTCATTTTATAATAAATCTTATGTAGCTTTCATTTTATAATAGATCTTATGTAGCTTCTATTTTATAATAGATCTTATGTAACTTTCATTTTATAACTTATATAAAAAGGGATATGAGAAAATTTTAATGAAAGGATTGGAAAGTAAAAATTAATTTTAGGGAGATAGGTATTTTAATATTGAAAAAACTCTTGAAATCATAGGTTCGTTAAACTTAAAAAAACTTGAATTTTTAAATCTTGAATTTACTGAAAAAATTAGTAGTAGTATCTCAGTAGACAACGGAAACTTTGTTTGTAGATTCCCTAAGACTCATAAGCATATTTTACATTCTGAAAACATACATTTAAACGGAATAACATATTTAATAATAAATCTTGGAACAAACGTAGAACAAGAAGCTAGAAGAAATAATCAAAACTTAGACAGAATATACAATTTTATAGAAAAAAGAACAGAGTTGATTAGTAAATTTATAGAAAATTTAGATTACATTAAATCACAGAATAATCAAATCATAAACGAGTTAAAAGATATTAAAAAAGAATTATTAGGTAAAACAAGCTCACGGCAAGATTTAAGATCTGCGATAAAAGAAGAAGACAGAGATAAAATAGTTAGTAGCCTAAGTAAAATAAACCTTGGTGAAGAAAAACCAAAAAATAAATCAACACCTTATAAACACTGGTTACCACGAAAATGAACAATCAGAATAAAATTTTTCTTGAAAAAAGTAGAACACTACAAGAAAGTAGAAATTCTACAAGTAATATACAAGATATAATAAATTCGGATAGTTTTATTAACAGAATAATGAGA